ATAATAATAATAATAATAATAATAATAATAATAATAATAATAATAATGTCTAGTCTGATGAAAAGAAGGACTAGGGGAGACATGATAGCATCCTCCCAGTATCTCAGGGGCTGCCCCAAAGAAGAGGGAGTCAAGCTCTTCTCCAAAGCACCTGAAGGCAGGACAAGAAGCAACGGATGGAAACTCATCAAGGAGAGAAGCAACTTAGAACTAAGGAGAAATTTCCTGACAGTGAGAACAATTAACCAGTGGAACGACTTGCCACCAGAAGTTGTGAATGCCCCAACACTGGAAGTTTTTAAGAAGATGTTGGATAACCATTTGTCTGAAGTGGTGTAGGGTTTCCTAGCTAAGCAGGGGGCTGGACTAGAAGACCTCCAAGGTCCCTTCCAGTTCTATTTTGATTGAGGGATTGAAAAAGTCTCTAGGGTCTTCTTCTTGAGCAGGGGGCTGGACTAGAAGACCTCCAAGGTCCCTTCCAGTTCTATTTTGATTGAGGGATTGAAAAAGTCTCTAGGGTCTTCTTCTTGAGCAGGGGGCTGGACTAGAGGACCTCCAAGGTCCCTCCCAGCTCTATTCTGACTGAAGCCCAATTCCAGCCTGGAGATCATCCTTGTTTGCCAAGTATAAAAACCTCCTAGTAGAGCTACCAACCGGGATAAAACATCCCCGGGGGGGTTCTCCCAGCAGACACCCCCAGAGCCCCCTAACCCCCACCCCCAAAGCGGTTCAGGGCTCTCCGTTCCACCCCTAGGGGAACAGAAACAGGCCGGGCTCTTAACGCCGGAGTCGGTCGGAGCTCCGCCTGTCCCGGAAATGGGCATCGCCCTGGGGTGATTATTTTTTTCTTTTTCTGTTTGCAACTAGTTGCAACCAAGTTGCAACCAAGTTGCAACTAAACTCTTTCGGGGAAAAAACAAAACAAAACCGTAGTTGCAGCAGATCCGGAGTCAGATCGATTTGGGTAAAAAGTCTTGGCTCCGGATTAAACTTTATAGCCAAGAAATTGGGTCCAAAAAGTCTCGGCCTTCTCCCACCGGCCAGGGCCCTGCCTAGCCTTTCCCCGCCCGAGGTCCCTTCTAACTCGGCTTCCCTTCACCCAACCAGCCACCCCCGGAGACCCCCGAGGCGAGGAGTTTTTTTGGGGAGGGGGTGGAAGGAAAGGAGACCCGAGGGCGCCGGAGCAGAGCGGCGGGCGCCCGGTTGCAAATGAGAATTTCCAAAGAGGACTTTTCCCCGCAGCTTGCAAAAAAGGGGGGGAAAAGGGAAAAAGCGGGCAGGAGCCCCCCCCATCTCTTCTTCCGAAAGCAGCCCCCTCCCCAAGACCCTCGGAGGGGACTCACATGACGGCGGAGGTCGCTTTTCTTAGAACCAGGCGGAGGAGGAACAGGAAAAGTTGCAGCTTCGGGGATTTTTGCGCGGTGGGTCCGGGGCGGGCCGTGCAAAACCCCTCCCTGTGCGGGTGGGGGCGGGGAAGGGAAGGGGGCGAAGTCTCCTCCGCTGGGCGGGTGTGGGTGTTGTAGGTGTGTCCACGCGCGTGGGGAATCCCCCTGCAAAGGGAATCCCGGAGCAAACTTCCATTTCAGGAAAAAAAAAATGCGCAAACTAACCAAATGCCAATAGAATAGAGCAGATAGAAATAGAACGGCCCTTGCAAAACAAAGCAAAGGTACTACTCCTAATAGTATATACATAGTAATAGTTTTTTTTACTACCGGTTCTGTGGGCATGGTGTGGCTTGGTGGGCGTGGCAGGGGAAGGATACTGCAAACTCTACATTACCTCTCCACTCCTGGGGAAAGGATATTGCAAAATCTCCATTCCTCCCCACTCCAGGGGGAAGGATACTGCAAAATCTCCATTCCCTCCCCATTTCTGGGGAAAGGATACTGCAAAATCTCCATTCTCTCCCCATTCCTGGGGGCAGGATGTTACAAAAGCCCCATTCCTCCCCACTCCAGGGGGAAGGATACTGCAAAATCTCCATTCCCTCCCCATTCCTGGGGGAAGGATACTGCAAAATCTCCATTCCCTCCTGACTCTGGGGCCAGCCAGAGGTGGTATTCGCCAGTTCTCGGAATAAATATATTTATTTATATTTATATTTATTTATATTTATATTTATTTATATTTATTTACGGTCGTCGCCAAGCCTCCAAACGTTGATCCCCTGTTGTGAGTGTAGCTACTTCCTTTCACAACCCGTGGCAAATTTGCCTGGCTGATAACCAGCCAAGACGTGGGAAAGACCTTAAAAATTTCATTTTAATGTATGGCTGATTAGTGTGCACGCAACCTGACAATAAAAGTTATCCTAAATTCTGTTGCAACATGTGGGGAGAAGTAGCTTGGTTCCCTCCGATCGTGTCCAATCAACACCGGCTGCCACATCCCTCCTTGTTCCCGATTATCTGAGATACTATCAGGTTACACTCTCTTTTGACCGCCTCCTACATGTTTCCTAAAACCCTCCCTAAACCTCACATATGTGCATTATGATTAGCAGATTATATAGGCAAGGCGTGTCAATATTTTAAGCATGTGCTGTGCTTACTTCGGTGACCTTAGAAGAACGACCTATTTTCCGGAATATTATGGGCTTGCAGAGGTGGGATTCCCTTCCCTACCGGTTCGCAAATGTGAGTGCGCAGCCCCCCTCTGCGCACGCGCATGGCCTTCCACGCATGTGCAGTACTCACGCTTTACGTCCGGTCCCACCGGAAGTTGGCAAATGGCCATTTCCAGCCCCCGGAGAGCCTCCAGGGGAGGGAAGGCTGTTTTCGCCCTCCCCAGGCTCCTAGAAAGGCTCTGGAGGCTGGGGAGAGCTGGGCTTTCCAGACCAACCGGAAGTTGGCAATTGCGGGTGTTTTCCCGCGTCATTAAAAGTCTGTTAGTTGAAATACTTAAAATCCTGGCTAAAATCCCAGCTTAAAATCCTCCAAAATCTCAACAAAACGGTCTTTTGAAACTCTGGCTAAAATCCTAACCAATGCTTTAAAAGTTTTCTTTTTGGCAACCCGGGGTGGATAAAAATCAATGATTTTTTTTAAAAAAATCAAAAAAAATCAGATTTTTTTGATTTAAATCGGATTTTTTTGATTTTTATCGAATTTATTTTAATAAAAAACTTTGGGGGTAAAAATCTATCGTAAGATAGTTTTCTATTTAAGATACATAAATAATTTAGTTTATTCGGCATGAAATGGAGCTTAGTTATGTAGCACGAGGCTGTATATTCTGCAACACTGGGACTATCGGTGAGTCAACAGCGGGTCAAAGGAGTAGCAGAGATGACAGTTGCTCTTTAAAAATTAAGATTTAAATCGAGTTGATTTAAATCAAATCCACCCTGTTGGCAACGTTTCGACAAGCTCTCTAACTTGTCATAATTATCTTGATTTACGTAGATAGAACCTGGCTAAAGAGAAAGACACATAAAACCTACGAAAAAGAAAGAAAAACAAATATTGTACCTTTACAGGGAGGATACATGAGATGAGGGCGTGGCTAACTGATGAGGCCTTATAAGGCTGAAATAGATCTATCTTATCTCCAGGCTCCGAAGTCCGCACATCACTCCCCGATGGCCCTGGCCCCAGCTCTGCCTCCGACGCAGAGCCCTCATCCGGGCCTTCCCCAGCCTCCGGGACTGGCCCCTGTTATTCCTCAGCCTCATCGTTGTCCGACTTGCTGCCAGCTCCGCAGGCTGCGGGCGGACGACGGCAGGGATTTTGAAGGTCATCTAGTCCAACCCCCTGCTCAAGCAGGAAATCTAACCATTGACAAAACAAATCCCAAGTTTAAAAGGATTCTGTATCTTCTTTATCCTTTATCTTCGACATTAACCTATCCGTTTCCGCACAATCTAATATTTCCTTGGTTATATTTTCATCTATCAACGGAAACTCTCGTTCAACGTGGGTTTTGGATTGAAATTCTCGATCTGGGGAAGCCTCCGTTGTTCCAGTTGTTTTGGGAAAGTGGCCATAAATAAGAATAACCTTTAATCTGCCAAATGATCTAAACAGTTAAACCCTGAAGTCGGGTGGTGTAATCTTCAAGGAGGGAAGGGTTTGAAAAGAGATCGGCCTGTTCTCAAGTTTAGAACATGGGCTGCCCAATTGCACCAAATGGCAGGATTTAAAGGATGCCTTTGAAAAGGGATTGAAACACACACCTGTCTCTCGCTGTTAAAAGGACGACGTGGCAAGGTGCATCTCATCGTGCACCAACGAAAAAGGGAAATTAAACGGGGGCTGCAATTTCCTTGGACCAGATTTCCTATATATATAATAATTCCGAGTTTCAATTTCGGCATGGAAATTATATTTGGCCAAGAGTTGTGGATGCTGACATTTTATTTCTGCATTTCGGTCCCGTTTTTAATTCTCGGGTGGATCCTTTACTACGATTATACCAAGATTCATATCCACCAGGAATCAGCCAGGGGAATAAACTTTGCCTTCTCTATCTGTCCATCGGCATTGTTCTCAGACTGGTAAGTCCTTCGATTCTAGCTTCAGTTTGTTTGTTTGTTTGTGGAATTTATATTGCTGCTCATTCACACACGGCGACTCAAGGCAGCTTATAGAATGTAAAACCTCCTCTAAAAACTATCAACCTACTAAAAAGAAGAGTCGTAGAACAAATTAATATAATAAAATCAATCCAGGTTTTTTTCTGGCTCAACAATAGCATTTTGGCGAGCAGAAATTTGTAAGGAAAATCAAAGTTTCACTTTATCCCAAAGAGGCTTTTATTTTTCCCAAGAGGCAACTGGTTTTTCTTCGAAGACCTTTCGCTTCTCATCAAAAGAAGCTTCTTCGGCTCTTCAGCTCAAGAAGCCCAGAGCTTGAAGAAGCTTGGATGAGAAGCAAAACGCCTTCCCGAGGGAAACCAGAGTGTCTAGTTTAACATTTATCTGGGATACTATAAGGTCTCTTGAGCAGGGGGTTGGACTAGAAGACCTCCAAGGTCCCTTCCAGCTCTGATTGATTGAACTCGCTTTTGATAGCATTTCTCTGGATCTCTCCATGTGATTTGTTTGTTAATTTTTGCACCGAGCAGGATCCGATCCTGGAAAAACTTGGCATCTGCCGTGAATTGGCAGTATGGAAGTTTGTGATAGATGGAATATTTCCAGCGGGGCCCAGTGACCTGAGCATCAAGGAAACGCTTTTCGACTCCGTGCCCGTGAGGGTCTATCGGTCCAAAACATCAAATCCTGAGAGCAGACGGGGACTTGTGTGGATTCACGGAGGAGGGGGCATGTTTGGAAGCTTCAGTAAGTTCTCCAAAGATGGACAGTCCTCGTCCTTACAACGGCTCATTTAGTGACCATTCAAAGTCACAAAAAAGGGGGCCGTGTTTCACACTTACGACATCCTCGGGATTTGAAACTGGATGTTCCTCGGGTGTTTTGATTTGTTCAGGACTCTCATCTTTGACTGTAATGAATTTGATTTTTTTGATTTGATTGAGCGACAAAGGGGACAGAGAAATGTTGGGCTAAATGGGAAAAAAATGGATGTATTCAGTTTTTTTCTTAAATATATATATATATATACTTATATATGTTTTAATATTTCAGAAAGCATCGAAAGACTGTGTCGTTTCTTTGCCCAGGAAAGTGCCACCGTGGTCGTATCTATCGGGTAATAGTAATAATAACAACAAAAATAACAATAACAATAACAATGATAATAATAGGAATGCCAATGCATTTGAAAGATTTCCTTTTGATTCCCTGTTGGTTTAGGTATCCGTTGGCACCGGAGCATCCCTACCCAGCTCAACAACGCAGCTGCTACGCGGCGTATCGTACTTTCTGAAGCACGCGAAGGACTTCGGTGTGGATCCACAACGGATCGTGTTGGGTGGAGACAGCAGCGGAGGCTCCATCGTGGCGGCCATTTCTCAACAACTTGTGTTCGGAAAGGATCTGCCCCGGGTCAGGGCCCACGTCTTAATCTACCCTTTCCTCCAAGGTGTGGATTTCAATCTGCCTTCTCACCAGCAAAACCAGTCGGTGCCCCTTTTACTCAAGAGAGATGCGGTCACTTTGGCAAGTTTTATCTCACCGGAAAGACTTCGGACAGCGATGGCGTGATGGCCAATGCTCACGTTCCGGACATCTCAGGGCCAAGTACCAGAAATGGATCAGCGCCGAACATATTCCAGAAGAATTTAAACTCCGGGGTTATGTGCCCTTTGTACCCGGTCGCTTTTCTGAAGATCTTTTCAAAGAATGCGAGAGAACTTTTGAACCTGAATTTTCCCCACTCCTGACGGAAGATGCCATCCTCCAACAGTATCCAGAGACGTTCCTTTTAACCTGCGAATACGACATTTTCCGAGACGATGGCCTGCTGTACAAGAAACGGCTGGAAGACAACGGGGTGCCTCTCACCTGGCATCACCTGGAGGATGGATTCCACGGGATCACCATGCTGATAGGATATGGGCCAATGGAGTTTCCTGGGACGAGGAGGGGTCTCAGAAGTGTCCTCCAATTCCTCGAACGCTGCTAGAAACCCAACGCCCACCTTCTTCTGCTTTGTTCGTCTTTCCAGCTTGGTGACCTTGCCTGGTGCATGTGTTTGTGTGTGAGTGAGTGGCAGGCACTTCTCTGAAATATAGGGCGTCTTGCTTGAGCAAGGGGATTGGATGCTGTGGTGGCTTGCTCCCAGTTCGGGCGAATTGGTAGTGGCGGGAGGCTTCGTCCACCTGCCCAGACATCATCCAAAACACTCTGTGCCTGCGCAGTAGTGCTGCGCACCCACGTGCTACTGATAGCAAAACCGGTAGCGCAGGGATTTGAAACCTACTACTGGTTGGATGTGAAGACTTTCCAGCTCTCTTCTGATTGATTGATTGAAATGGCAGTGATGGGTAACCTTTTTGCCGTCGGGTGCCAAGAGCGGTGGGGAGCTGGGAGGGGGGGTTGCGCCCCGATTTCGGCCTCGGAGGCCTACCTGAAGTCTCTGGACTTCCGGTGGGCCCGGTAGGCCAGTTTTTTGACCTCCCCAGGATCCAGAAGTTTTCCTGGAGGCTGGTGAGGGCGAAAAATGGGTTTACGGGGCCCACCGGAAGTCGGGAAATGGGCCGTTTCTGGCCTCCTGAGGGCCTCCGGGGGGGGAGGCTGTTTTCACCTTCTGGAGGCTTCAGGTAGGCCTGCTAGGCCCAAAAGGGGGGGGGGCTGCATGTGCTCATGCCTGGGGGAACAGGCACGGGGGGCATTGAATTATCGGTGTGGGCACACACACGTGTGACCCCTCCACACACTAGGGTTGCCAGGTCTGCTTCCAAAAAATAGCGGACAAGCGGGGGGGGGGGTTTAAGTAGTAAAAATAATAAATATATATTTACAATTAAATTATATATTTTTTTACAAACATTTTAACACGTATTAAAATAATCACTTCAAAACTTTACTTAAAATTCAAAACATCAAATATAATAATATGTAAAATATTAAATTACATTTTACTTTGCTGTCGTATGTATTTTTTATCTGACTGCGCAGCTTTGATCAATTCTTTATGTTTAAGGAATAATTCTTTAATTTCAGTACAACGTTGAGACATATTAAAAAATATACAAAGTTTTGAATAAAAAAAAATGTCCACTATTTTGTGAAAAAAAAAATGGGGAACATAATGTGAAAAAAGTGGACTGTCCACTCAAATAGTGGACACCCGGCAACCCTACGACGCTTTTGGCAGGCGACGGCAAAAAGGTTCGCCATCACTGGTCTACGGTCTCCTGCATGAGGAGAGGGTTGGACTAGATGACCTCCAAGGTCCCTTCCAGCTCTATTCTGATTGAAAAGGCTGGGTTACTCTTATGATCTTCAGTCCATTGCTTCTTGTCCTGCCTTCTGGTGCTTTGGGGAATAGCTTGACTCCCTCTTCTTTGGGGCAGCCCCTGAGATATTAGAACACTGCTATCCTGTCTCCCCTAGTCCTTCTTTTCATTAAACTAAACATGCCCAGTTCCTGCAATCGTTCTTCATATGTTTTAGCCTCCCATCCAGTGGTGGGATTCAAGTAATTTAACAACCGGTTCTCTGCCCTCATGATTTCTTCCAACAACCGATTTGCCAAACTGCTCAGAAAGTTAACAACCGGTTCTCCCGAAGTGGTGCGAACCGGCTGATCCTCTTTGTTACTCTTCTCTGATCCTCTTTGTTACTCTTCTCTGCACTCTTTCTAGAGTCTCAACATCTTTTTTATAAAATGGTGACCAAAACTGGATCCAGTAATCACATGATCTTGATTCTATCCCTCTGTTAATGCAGCCTAGGATTGCATTACCATGTTGTTGCATCCCGGCAGATAAAAAGACAAAATACATGTGGGGTTATATTTATTTTATTTTAATGTTCTGCATGTCAACTTGTAAAGCTTTCAAATTGCCATGAGCAGGAGGGAGGGAGAACTGATAGAGCTGATTGATTTCCCTAACTGAAGCTGCATTCCGTAGATGCTTTCTTTCCGCAATCAGAAGGAGGGTGTTAGGTTTCACAGCCAGCCAAAGTGGTTAATTGGAGAATGTGATTTATGACACGGCCAGGGAGGAGGGGAGAGACAGGGTCATAGGGGAACGTAAATCTACGTGGGATTAGTTCTAACTGCATCCGAATATTGCCGAAATGGTGCTCCTAATAAATGACTGTATTTCTTTTGAAGTTTGGCTCATGGCTCATGAATTAATTAGGGACATCTTTCGGAAATTTCACACTGCGTACCTTATGGCTGGTATTGGAGATTGTTCTGGAAACTCCCCGCTTCCTATTTCTGGATTTTGCTCTGGGGCTGGCATCGTGGACGTTATAGGGAAATTTTGCAATATCTTTGATTTTGTAATTCCATGCCTTGGGCCCCAGGTTGTAAGATGTGTTAGGGAGGTGGCACAAAATTAAAACAAATATCCTGATCTCCCATCTCTGGAGAAGACTCCACCCTTCCCAAGCTGCTACTTCACGTCCACAATCGTCCCTCAGCTTGAGATCTTCCCGGGAATTGGCTAAAGCCTCCACAGATAGCCCTCGACTTAAGTGACCGTTATTAAATGACAACGACATTGAAAATAGGGACTTGGGAGCCGTGGTAGCACAGCAGTTAGAATGCAGGTTTGCAGGCCAACTCTGCCAACTGTCAGGAGTTCGACCCTGACCGGCTCAAGGTTGACTCAGCCTTCCGTCCTTCCGAGGTGGGTAAAGTGAGGACACAGTTGGTTGGGTGTGTGCATGTGTGAAAGGCTGACTCTCTAAGCAGTTTACAAAGTTAGCCTATTGCCCCTAACAATCTGGGTCCTCATTTTACCGACCTCGGAACGTACGGAAGACTGAGTCAAACTTGAGCCGGGCAGGATCGAACTGCCGGCAGTGGGCAGAGCTAGCCTGCCACCCCCGCGCTCTCTAACCGCTGCGCCCACCCACGTCTCTTGATCTTTTTTCTCTTTCATCGTTTCTATTTCCGTTTCTGATTTCATCCCTTGGGGAGACGACGTCAATCTGGGCTCCACGTCCCGGGGACGTTGCAGCTCCCACAAGGAATAGATTGCGTGTTCCTGCCACGTGCAAAGCTGATCGTGATTTTCTAAGGTGTGCAGAAGGATATCACATGCCCCAAAAATAGCACCTGTGGGAATTGGCTGTCCTAATTGATCCTTACCCATTCAGACAAAGATCTGCTCACGTGGTTGCTGATATTAGCGAGCACTGAGTTCTCTGATCCTATCAGCCTCCATACGAAATGAGGATTGCAGGATATGACCGCAATTAACCCTTCTAGTCCATACCAACCCTATCATTAGTCCTGGGGCAAAAACTTCCTTTTCTTAACAATGCTCCAATAGCTCAGGGGCTGCCCCAAAGAAGAGGGGGCAGGGGGGGGCAGGTTTTCAGCCTGTTTTCCAAAGCACCAGAAGGCAGGAGAAGAAGCAGCAAAGGATGGGAACTCACCAAGGAGAGAGAAGCAACCTGGAACGAAGGAGGAATTTCCTCACAGTGACAACAATGAACCAGGGGAACTCCTTGCCACCAGAAGTTGTGGGTGCTCCATCACCGGAGGTCTTCAAGAAGAGATTGTGTCAGACTTCGATGCTATCTCAAAATAAATGAATTTCTAAACTGCCAATCTTTAAGGAAATCTTCTCTTTATTTGAGCACAGCAAACCGGATCAGGACTCGATGCGGACAAGACTGACCTTTTGCCCCCCAATCCCTCCCTTTCCGATCCCCAATTATCTGCTTCTCATTGGCTATCTTCCAAGTCACTCTACTGACTTCTTGTCTCATCATTTCACAGGAATGTCCCCCCTCCCTTCATTTCCACGACGACCCAGCTTCAAAGGGATTTAGCAGGCAAAAGTTCAGGGCTTATCTCTCTCCACTCTATGCCAGTGGTGAGACGCTGACAGATTGGACAGTCCTTTGTCTGAAATGGTTTAGGCGCCTCCCCTCAGACATTCCTCACTGCCTGGTCCTTTGTTTAGGAGTCTCCATAATGGGTGGGGAGGAGAAGGCCTCCATCTTTGCTAAGGGATGAGAGAACGGACAATGTTATCTTTTGTCATCATCATTTAATGACCCTATAATCCCTTGCGGGGTCTGGAGTCTGGGCAACTGAATGAAGCTAGCAGAATGGTGTTTTTTTTTTAATGGCCGGATGCCTTTCCTGTTGCCAATACAGAGTTTTGTTCAGCAGGTATATTCTCAGTGTGCCCAGAGAGAGAGAGAGAAATATCGGCCTCTACCTAGGATCGAACTCACAGCCTCTTGATTGTGAGGCCAGAGCTGCACCTCTAGGCCGCCGTACCCACTCCACAAGGTTATCTTTTGTGCCTGTTGGGTATTTTTTGTCCCCATCTGGCTCCCACAAGTCCCTGCTCTTCATATCTCCTTTGTGGTATGTTCTCCGCCTCCAAAATATATCTCTATATGTGACACAATCCGTTGACTCCTTTCCAATCTATCAACCATTGCAACATCAGGAAATGAGAAGCGAGCCAGCCAAGGTATAATGTTGGCAATTAAACCCTTATAATAACCGGGTTAAGATTTTTGGCCTCACAACAACCCAGTTAGAGAAGACCGATCCAGCGGTCAGTCCCTCCCACCAGATCTTCTTCTCTGCTTGGTCCTTCTTGTAGGTGTCTCCATAATGGGTGGAGAGGAGAAGGCAGGCTTCTCTTTATTAATACCAACCCACTTATATTTCCACATATAGATGGGTTGGCTATATATGGAAATACCTATAACTACTGGACTCTTCGCAGTCTCTACGGACAAGAGGACAAGCAGCATCCTTCTATTCCAGAACAAGGCGCAATGACTTCCTTCTGGAAGCACCTAGCATGCCTTCTTGTCGGAACTGCCGTCTACCCAGCCATCTTCCTGGTCTCGGTCGTCATCCAATATTCCCAAACGGTGTTTCCTCCTGGGATCGATCAAGCCTTGCAGCTTCGCATGTGTCAAGTGTGGCTCCTTTCGGGCATCCTGTTCGTAAGTTTTCTTTTATTCCTTTTCTCAGGAACTTCGAGGGGTGGGGGTGGGGGGAAATAATCGTTTTGTTATTTCCTTACAAGATTCGAACTGGCCCCGAATCCATCCACGCCGCCGTCAAAAGCCTTTCTTCGCTTCTTGAACAAGAAAAGCTGTGAAACTGACTGGGTCACCTCCCTGTCCAGTTTTGAAAGGGGTTGGGAATTAAGAGGGATTCCTTTCATTTTCTTTTCCTTCATCTCACAGCTGTGTCTGTAAGTGGGCACGTCCCTTTGGAACAGTTGGGACTCATTCAGTCTGAGAATGTGGTTTGAGTTACACCAGGTAGTAAAATCTAAATAGAAGAAGGGGTGGGTGGGGTGGGTGGGAAATGCAATGAAAATCTTTTTTTTTTTTTAATTAATCTGAACTTGGGAGAATCATGCCTCACTATGTCTAAGGAAAAGTTAAATGAAAGTAAAATTTAAGTTAAGGTTGAAGTTATTTATTTATTTATTTATTTATTTATTTATTTATTTATTTATTTATTTATTTATTTATTCATTCATTCATTCATTCATTCATTCATTCATTCATTCATTCATTCATTCATTTATTCATTCAATTTATATACCGCCCTTCTCCTAGTGGACTCAGGGTGGTGCACAGCCAAAACTAAAATACATAACAATACAAAATTTAAAATTAATTAAAAGAATTATATACTTTGGCCCGAATTAAAACAGTGCGAATTAAAACCCATTAACAAATTAAAACTAAACAATTAATAACCATTTAAAAACTAAAAACTAAAAATGCCCTCTGGCTGGGTGACATTTCAATCAATCAGAATAGAGTTGGGAGGGACCTTGGAGGTCTTCTAGTCCAACCCCCTGCTCAAGCAGGACCATTTCAGACAAGTGATTGTCCAGTCTCTTCTTCAAAACCTCCAGTGATGAAGCACCCACAATTTCTGGTGGCAAGTTGCTCCACGGGTTAATTGTCCTCACTGTTAAGAAATCTCTCCTTAATTCCAGGTTGCTTCTCTCCTTGATGAGTTTCCACCCGTTGCTTCTTGTCCTGCCCTCAGGTGCTTTGGAGAATAAGCTCACCACCCTCTTCTTCCACCCGCTTCAAATACTGGAAAATGCTATCATGTCAGAATAACTAGTCAGAATAGTAAAATTAGCAACACAGTTCTTACTAATAGCTCGCTTTCAGAAGTTGTGAGCGTCTCCCCAAATTAACTTCTTCTCTCCTGTCGTTTGGCCAACAGGGAATTGTTGCAGAGGCGCTGGGCTTGTCCAGTTTGCCTGAAATCATACGGCTGTGGACGAATACAATCAGCCTGTTTAAGGATCCATCCCTGACCATTCGGGACCAGGATTTTGATGGGGTGCCAGTGAGGATCTACTCACCCAAAACGGAGCCAAAGGCCAAAGGAAAAGCTGTGCTTTTTTGCCATGGTGGAGCTGGCATTGCGGGAAGCATCGGTAAGATGTAATTCCAAGCCAACCTTGGATTGCTAAACCAAGATAGTTGGGGAATCTCAGGGAGATAAACTGGAACACTGAAAAGCATCCCAGTTAATGGCAAATCACTTCCGGATGGTTGGCTACTAAAACACATGTAGATGTTCAGATTCGCCTACGATTCCACTTCATTCAAAATCTCTCTCACTCTCTCTCTCACACACACACAAAGCACCCACAATTTCTGGTGGCGAGTGGTTCCACCGGTTAATTGTTCTCACTGTCAGGAAGTTTCTCCTTAATTCCAGGTTGCTTCTCTCCTTGGTTACTTTCCAACCATTATTTCTTGTCCTGCCTTCTGGTGTTTTGGAAAATAAGTTGAAGCCCTTCAAATACTGGAAGATTGCTCTCATGCCCCCACTAATCCTTTTTTTTAAAGTATCTAGTATCTTTATTTATTGATTAGCCCTTGGGCCATATTGGAGTGCAGAGTTCCAGAAACAAGTTATTACTAAAACGTGAGAAAAGCAATTTAAAATCGAATTGGATAAAATGCAATTTAAAATGAATTCGGAATAAAATACGATTTTAAACTGTCCCATTGGCTTTAAACTGTTCTATAGGTATTGAAATTGATACCTAATTCCTGCAACCGTTCTTCATATGTTAGAGCCTTGGTGGCGCAGCGGACTAAAGTGCTGTTAAGTAGCACTTAGCTGCCTGCAATTACTGTGAGTTCAAATCTCACCAGGCTCAAGGTTGACTCAGCCTTCCATCCTTCCGAGGTAGGTCAAATGAGGACCCGGATTGTGGGGGCAATAAGCTGACTTTGTATTTGGGGGTGGGGGCAAAAGCCCTACTAAGCAGGTATATACAAAAGTATGAAGGTTATTGCTTAACGCATTGTAAGCCGCCCTGAGTCTCCGGAGAAGGGTGGCATATAAATTGAAACAATAAATAAATAAATATGTTTTATCCTCCAGGACTTTAATCATCCCAGCTGCTCTTCTCTGTACTTTTTCCAAAGTCCCAACGCCGTTTTTTTGTGTGTGTAATGTGGGAACCAAAACTGGATGCAGAATATTCCAGATGTGGCCTTACTAAGGATTTATAAAGCGGTGCTAATACTTCACGTGATTTTGATTCTATGCCTCTGTTTATACAACCAAGGATCGGATTAGCTTTTTTGGCTGCTGCCGCACACGGCTGGCTCAGGTTTAAGGGATCGTCCACTCGGACTCCAAGATCCTTCTCAGCGTTACTGTTTTTGAGGGGTGTCGGCTATTCCTGCCAGTTTAGTGTCATCTGCAAATCTGTTGAGTTCCCCTTCTATTCCAAGTCATCCATGAAGATATTGAAGAGGGACCTATAATGTTGCTGTCAGAGTTACACTGCCCTGAGTCCTTCGGGAAAAGGGCGGTATAGAAATAAAATTATTATTATTCTAGTCCAATTAGTTATGTGCAAGGCATGGTGAAGCAAGAGAAGGTGGATATTTAAATAGAGATAAACAGGGAATATTAATTTCTCTTATTAAACACGGACATTAGGCACAGATTCTATCAGTCATTTGCTTTGCACACTATAATCAAGCCATATCTGCGTTTATGCCAGCCGCACCCAAAGTTTTAGCAATTTTCAATATTGCCACAGCGTTGTCAACATGACCCAAAGATCGGAATGGGATCTTCTGATCTCTTGCCCTCTGAAAAACGATTCCGAAAGGAAATAGGACAGACTTCAGCAAGAGGCCTGGCAAATAGGGACGTGGGAAGCAAGTTTAAATAATAATAATAATAATGAGATTACAAATTCGGAAACAGGCAAGACAGGATGGCTAAGGGGCTAAAGAGGTAAAAATTACTTTTGAATATACATTAATACTGTATATCAACATTAGTGTTATGTAAGTTAGAAAATTACTTTGTAAATTAGATAACTAGAAGTTATGTGGGGGTACTATTGAATAGATATAAAAATGTGATTAACGATGGAAACTAAAATTAAACACTCCGCGATTAGATAATGAAAATATATATATATTTTAATGAAAACATGTGTATCCATACTAGAAATACAAGGACTGGAAAGAACAGGAATATGAATAGATGTATATTAAATGTTGGAATGATTGTGACTGGTACCAGAAGTGTGCATTTGAGATATTGAATAATGAAAGAAGGAAATATCATGTCTTTGAATATTAGAATAGAACAGAATAGAATAGAAATAGAGAAATAGAATAGAATAGAATAGGAATTGAATTGAATTGAATTGAATAACAGAGTTGGAAGGGACCTTGGAGGTCTTCTAGTCCAACCTCCTGCCCAGGCAGGAAACCCTACCTGGATTAGAGTGACATGGGGGAAAAAAAAAAGAGGGTTTAAATAGAGATAGAAATAAGAGGGGAATAATAGTAAAAATAGATATTACAATGTATGGAAGAAGTAGGAGAAAGTTTAGAATTGAAGGACGATAGTAAAAGCTTTGCGTTAAAAAGGTGAAAATGGAATGTATTATCAGGAATAATAATGTTATGTTCATTTGTATTGAAATGTATGATACCCAGGTATCACACCATCCACTCAATGAGATGTATAAAATAACAAACCTATTTTAAAAAAAAACCAAAATGATTCCAAACGCAAATAGGACAGACTTTAGTAAGAGGCCTGGCAAATAGGAAAGCGATTAGTGGACAGCAGCTGTCCTTGGTTACAACAGCTGATCTTCAGCAAACCTTCCTTCCCCCAAGCAGGGAAAGGGGTTTCCAGAAATGAATTCTCATCCATTGTATAACTCATCAATACTCATTTCAGCTATCTATGAAAGATTCCTGCAGTACATTGCCAAAGAGGGGAATTCGACTGTGTTCATAGTTCGGTGAGTATTACCTCCATTGTCTCATTAATCTGCAGTAGGTCTTGGACAAGTCGCCGTGGCCAATTCGCGGTGCAGATAACTCGCCGCGGGCCAAGAGTGACACTAATATCAACGAAACGATGAAATAGAAATTGTTAAAAGAAAGGAAGGCTGCCAAAGGAGGGACCAAATGAAACACGAATGACAAAAAAGTTAAAAATATGTTTTAAAAAATTAGAAAAATTAGAAGATTCCAAGATTCCCTTCCAACTCTATTCTCATTGATTGATAATTAAAAAAAACTATCACCACCATATTACAAAACGAGGGAAAGACTGAGCTCGTCACTGTACCCAATTGGATCAGGAATCCATAATCGGTCGTTTTCTCCTTTCAGGTATAGACTTGGGCCGGAGAACCCTTATCCAGCTCAGTACGATGACTGTCTGAAGGCGACTGTCTTCCTCATGAAACACGCAGAAGATTACGGGGTGGACAGCTCCCGTATTATCATTGCTGGAGACAGCTTCGGGGGTACATTGGCCACACGTATCTGCCAGTTACTAGTGGACCGGAGTGACCTTCCCAAGGTTCACGCCCAAGTGTTGATCTACCCCGTTCTTCAAGGCCTGGATTTCTCCTTGCCATCCTATCAGCAGAACTGCAAAAGTCCCTTCTTGTGGCGTAAGATAGTTCCCTTCTTGGGCTGCTATTACTTTAACAAGCCCACTTCTCTTGCGGACAGTATTCTGAAAAGCAGTCACGTTCCTGAGGCCACCCGTCTGAAGTACCAGAAGTGGTTGAGCGCTGACAACATCCCGGAACAGTTCAAAGCCAGAGGCTACACGCCTCCAGAGCCATCCTCGTCTCATTTTAACCCTCGGTTGCACGAAGAAATTAAAGAGATGCTCACCGAAACCTGCTCGCCGTTGCTCACCGAGGATGCGGTGATCTCCAAGCTCCCTCAGACCTTCTTGCTGACCTGCGAGTATGATGTCCTTCGCGACGACGGGTTGTTGTACATGAAGCGACTGACGGACAATCGTGTGCCGGTAACCTGGAGCCACGTAGAGAAGGGCCTGCATGGGATGGTCTTGCTCTATGGGTTTTGGATCCGATCCCCTCTGCCGACCAACAAGATGGTGCACGATATCACCGATTTTATCCGACGCTTGTGAGGCCAAAAACAAAACCGATGTCGCATTTTGATCTTCTTTCCGGGGGAATCCGGTGGCCTAGACTCGTGGACCCCTTAGGATAAACTGGTTAGATCCTGGTCAATGAACCTCAAATGTAGCTCTTAAAATCAATCTGACTTCTCCATTCTGTGTTTTATTATTCTATATTCTATATTCTATATTCTATATTCTATATTCTATATTCTATATCCTATCCTATCCTATCCTATCCTATCCTATCCTATCCTATCCTTATTCTTATTCTTTCTCGCTGCAGGACAATTCAACAATTCAATGTAATTATTTAAAATAATTTTTTAAAAAATAATTTTTAATTTTTATCATTCACATTTCATTCTGCCCCTCCTTTGGCACCCTTCCTTTTATGATTCTATTCCACCATTTCTTCGATAGTAGTGTAACTTTCCCGCCGCGGCGAGTTGTCCTAAACCTGTAAGATTCAACGTTGTATTCAATTTTCAACCTGCTTCATAGCTTAGGTTACAAAAACCCGGTTACAAAAACATTTATTGATTTCTCCCACGTACAAGTATTACTCCGACGTCATAAATCCGCTTGAGTTGTTCCTAACGTCACTTTCAAACTGGATGTACTTCATTCAATGGACGCGTTCCTCTGTATTTGTGCGCAGAGCTGTTTTTGTCCTAGAAAATATTGTTCTTAGGCAAGTTGGAAACAACGTATTTTGCTTTCCAGTCTGACCATCCCACGGTAGTCAAAATATGTAATTCTTTGAACAAATCCAAAGCGAATTGAGAAAAAAAAGAAAGAAATTTCTTTTCTTTTGCCCTAAACAATTTGACGCAATGTTTGTTAACGTAATATGAATTTTCAGCCGCTTCATTTCTTCAAAACTTTTCAGACATACTGTAGCCTAAATGTACTTAACTGATTTAAAGGTTTAATGCAAAGTCTTGCTAAGCCTGCAATTAAAATTCCTCATCTTCTTTTCCATCTCAGGAACCTTTCCATCTCTGGAAAAATAATATCCGTTTGCATTTTAGAATAAATATCCTCTTTCTCAGCACTGGGCGGCTCTGAATCGGGAATCATTTCAGCTGCAAAACTACCTTCAAAGAAGGAAAAAAGAAGAGAAACCATTAAATCACAACAGCTTATTCAAACATATTAATCATATTTTAAACTTTATTGTGTGGACGTGATTGCCCGCATATCTTCTCAATCAATAAATCCCAACCACGGAATTCCCAACCTATCTAAAAAGGTTAAATGATGGCAACGGGACCGTTATTAAGTTCAATCAATTAAGTTTATTAAAACTGAGACGTTTTGTTATTTTCATGTTGCCCGAAGACGTAATAAATAAATAAATAAATTTACAAAATAATTTGTAAATCCAGTTGCCACGATTGAACTTTTTGAGATACTTTTGGCCGGGATGATTAGAGCGTTCAATTCGTGTGAAAATCCCAACAGTTTCCAACATTTATGTACTGGCTACCAATTTTCTTCCCTAAGAAAAAGATTTCAGCTTTCGTTGGCTTTATGAAACAAAATGATTTCCTGAACATCCCCCAAATATAACGTTAAGTGTAAAAATGGGAGCAGAAAAATAACTTCAATTAAAAAATAGAACTATCACTCAGTTTGGGGTGAAATAAATGCTCAGCATCCACTGGCGTTTCCCAGTGTCCTCAACGTACGACCACAATTGATCCCGAAATGTAGGTTGCTAAGTGAAACATTTGTTAAGCGAGTTAAAAGCAAAAAGACCCACCTTGTTCGCCGCTTCCAATGCGTTTATCAGAGCCTGTAACTCTTCTTTATTCATTTCCACGGAGATAAATTTGAGGTCCCCATCTTTAGACAAATCCAGATCAAGGTTTAAAAGCGGCATCTGGAGCATGGACAATTTGTCACTAGAAAGGGCGAGCTGCGTAGGGAAGCAAAAACGACACAATTAAGACTTGGGTTTGTTTTTTTTTAATCAGAAGAGATGAAAAAAATAATAATTAGCAGTCTTTTTAAGGTCATAACGTGAGAGCTGAAAGGAACTCCCAGTACATGTAAATGGGAAATCTAGTTTGCATTCAGCCTATAACTCTATATCTATCTATCTATCTATCTATCTATCTATCTATCTATCTATCCATCCATCCATCCATCCATCCATCCATCCATCCATCTATCATCTATCTATCTATCTATCACCTATCTATCTATCTATCTATCTATCTATCTATCTATCTATCTATCTA